TATACTTCTACCTTTTTTCTCAGAGACTTCTTGCTCATTGAATCTGTTGATTTCAATCTCATGTTCTCTGAGTTTGCCAAACAAGGAGGCTGTTGTCATGACTGATAAATCTTTTGATTATGAAATAGCTGTGACCTTGGGCTGCCATGACCTGTCAAGACATTTCAAGACTTTAATGTTTAATTCTTCTTTATCAAAAGTTTTACCTAAGCTCATTAGATGATTAATGATATGAGTGAAGCGCTTCTGCACATCTGCAATACTTTCTCCAGTTTTCATTTTGAACAGCTCATATCCTCTTATGAGAATATGCTTTCTGGCTCTCTTTACATCAGTTGTTCCCTCATGAGTAACCTCAAGAACTTCCCACATTTCCTTTGCAGATTTGCATTGGGAGACCCTGAAAAACTCATCCATATTTAGTGCAGAAGTAATTATGTTTTTAGCAGTACAATCACTTTGAACTTTTTTCTTTTCTTCATCATTTAAACTGGACCATTCTTTTTCTGTAATTAAAGGACCATTAGCAATTACATCCCAAATATTCCTATCAATAGATTCAATAAAGATCTTCATCCTAATCTTCCAAAATGGGTAATTTGTTCCACAAAATAGTGGAGGTCTATTAATAGAAGCTCCCTCAGAAAAAGGTAATTTGTTTTCAGCCATTTTGATCGAAAAACTTGAATAACTCTCAAGAACCTTGCTCTGATACCAATTGTTAGAAAAAGAGGCTGAGATCAAGAGGGGGGGTGAATTGATCTTTGAAAGATTTTCGCAAATTACAGATTATCTATTTCAAAGATTAAGAAATATGACCAGTTTTTGAATCACACAGCAATCAATAAAAAATAAATGCAGTCATAGGATTAAAGAAGAGAAAGGTTTAGAAAGATATCACCAAAGTTTATACTGGTTCACCCAATCCCAAGGCTACGTCCAGTCTCCTGCCAAATTCCAGCTGGGTTCCACTAGATTGAATGTTTTACAGATTACAACCTTAATCACACACTCAATCTACCACAAGAACCACAATTCCAATTCCTGCACCTAACCTTTCACCAAGAACCAATTTCCAGTTCTTGACCTACCCTGCAGCCAAATTCCAGCTACAGAAACGAGTGCCCACAATTCCAGGCACCCACAATACATTAAAAGAAAGTAAAGAAACAAACAGAAGAAACTAAAACGCTTAAACCAGTTTTATGTAGTTCTGCAATATGTTGTCTCTTCTTCAAAAGAATGCAATTTTGCCTCAAGAAAGATCTTTGATGAACTTCACAAAAAGTAGCATAATTCTTTCTTGATAGTATCACTTTTGATTGCTTGATTGATTGCTAAAAGATGTATATCAGATGTGTGTTTAAAAAGTTCAAGCAACTCTGTTTTTATAGAAGATTTTCAAAACTGCTGGTTTAATTAATCTGTTAAAATAATCTTTTAATCTGTTAAAAGTCTTGTTTTAATCTGTTAAAACTTCTTTTAATCCATTAAAACGTTCTTGATTATTTTCCAGATTTGTTTTAACTGATACGACAACGTTTATATCAATTAAAACTCTTTCTAAAAAATCTTCTAATTTGTTTTAATCGATTGTTTCGTGTTTCAATCGATTAAAATACTGCAAAACTTTCTTGTAAACTTTTCAAAGTGATTTTAACTGATAAAAAATCGTTTTAATCGATTAAAACGCTTAATTCAAATTTTCTTAAGTTGATTTAATCGATTGAAACGTGGTTTAATCGATTAAAATAGTTCTGATCGGTCATAACCCAATTCTGATCGATCATATCTGGTTCTGATAGGTCATAACTCAATTCTGATCGATCATATCTGGTTCTGATCGGTCATAAACCCATTCTGATCGAGTCAAACAAGTATCTAAGTGGTTTTAATCGATTATTTCGAATTTGTATCGATTAAAATACTCGCAGTAACACTTCTCCGAACATTTTAAGTGATTTTAATCGGTTATTTCGAAACTGTATCGGTTAAAATATTGATCGAAGGTTTTCAAAACTTCCCTTAATGAAAACAATCGGTTATTTCGAAGTTATATTAGTTAAAACCTTGTTATAAAAGTGTGAAGAATATTTTAGTTGATAAAGCTTATATTCTATTAGTTAAAATAGTTGATTAAGAAAACTTTTATCAAAATACATTGGTTTTGACCGTTTAATTTCTTTTAAGGCATTTTGCAAAAAGTTTTAAGTGAAGAAACCTCATGCAGCAGAAAAGATAAAAATGATTATACCTAAGCGGAACTATAGACACACTAATCCTTCTTCTCTTTTATCCAAGTGACCTTTGACTGCCACAAAGTAGCCTTTGACTTTATTCTTGACTTCATCAAATCAACAAAATCTTTGTCAAGGTAATTCAATAAGATCTTCATTACTTTCACTTATGTTTTGGTATGTTCATGAGTCCTACATCGCGTAGGAATCAAGGTCAACCATAATTTAAATACATCTTCCTCTCTCAACCCATCGAAACTCATTTTAAGGATAAAATTATGACGAACAAGAGCTCTAAATCAAACAATATCTTGGTAGGAATTTTAGACGAAACATTGACATCCACTATAGGGCCAAGAGTTCAATCTTGCTTTACTCATACTCCTTAGTCCTCGACTAAGGGACTATGTTATCTCTGTCAAAATTTAGTATAAAAAAAATGTTGCACTTAAAAGAGTGCATAATAGCTCTTGCACTGAAGATGAACGCGACTAAGCTATCTGCTGAAGCTATGGGATGTCAAAATGAAGCGTGAGTAGTGCTGAATGAAGCGAAAGTGAGAATGCTCTGCAAGGTTCATCCACGGAGGGTGAGTAAGGGCCAAAAGGCATAGTCGATGGATAACAAGTGAATATTCCTATACCACCCTTTGTTGGTCCTTAGACGGAGAAGATTAGGTTAGCCGAAAGATAGTTATCAGTTCAAAGACGCATAATGCCCATACTTTTTCAGGGTAATAAAGATAGAGAAAATGCCTCGAGTCAAAGTTCGACTACGAGGCACTAAAGTGCTAAAATAATCCATGTCATATTCCTAGGAAAAACTCAAACAACTTTCAAGAATTGGGTACTTGTACCCGAAACCAACACAAGGGGTAGATAGAGAATACATAGAGATGCAAGACAACTCTCATTAAAAAACTCAACAAAATATTATTGTAACTTCGAGAGTAAAAGTACCTCTAAAAAAAAAAGGTCGTAGTGACTAGACCTCAACGACTGCACATAAAAAAATTCAAATATGTAACACTATGTATTCACAAAAAATAGAATAAAACTCCTTAGCTCACATAAAATAAAATATTAGGATTAATTTTACGTCTAGTTTCTTTTTTATACTTAAAAATCATCTATTTTTATTTTTTATGTATTATTTTATTTTTATTCTTTTATATATATATATATATATATATTATTTCTCTTGATTAATATTTTAAACTCACAGAAATAAATAAAATTAATATTTTAAAAAATAAAATAAATTTAAGTATAAAACTAACAGGTAAAGTTTGTTCGTCTATAAGGACATAACCTTTACTCTTAAGAATATTTATCTATCTATTAATAATCGTTATTGTAAAATCCCAACTGATCGAGTTTGAAAAAAAAAAAAAACACAGACTAACGACTGACCTTTCCTTTTGATTTTTTTTTTATTTTCAGCTTGATTTGCGATCGTGATTTATAAATAAAAAAATCATCAAAAACAAATTTCTTAAATTTATTTTTCTTGATTTTTTTAAAATGTTTCTTCATGTTTTTTATTTTTACACTAACTTTTTAATTATCTGAAGAATATTATGTTAAAATCTGAATACATTACACTAATAAGAAACAGAAAGTTTTATACAATTTCAAATGATAAAAAAGTCTCATTATAATTGTAAAAAGGGCATTGATAATTAATATGTTTGGCAGCGTTTCTACGTTTGAGTTGAAATATATTTTCAAGATTAGGTACAATGCATTACTACTTTATTCTTAACCCAAGATATAAGTACAAAAATATAATTGTAAGAAGGGCATTTCAAACACTACTTTTGTTTTAAAAGAATTCTTAATAAATAAAAATTGGAGTTTTAATTCTTATTATTCTTTATTTTATTTTTATTTTTTGATGCAGGAACTAAAAAGAAGAAAACTTACCAATTATCGCAATAAAACAATGCACCAAAAGTCCTAGGATATTCAACATAGTTACAGATTAAGGATTAAAATAACGAATACAACGAATTTTTTTGTTTTATTAAAAAATTAATTTAGATTATAAAGAAATTATTTTTGCATAAAAGCATCTAAATTAGAAGAATAACATTTTTCGAAACTTACTTCTAAATTCCATTTTATAAAAAATAAACATAAACGAAAGTCCATGTGATAGTAGTATAGTTTTAGATTCGTAAACGTTGGTTAAAAAAAAAAAATCTAATCTTATATTAAGTGCACTCCAGGACAACAATCCAAGAACACCCCGAATTATTGGATAAAATTATGGATATTAATTTGTAACAGCATTTATCATATATTATTATATAATAAGTTGTTTATTACAAATGTCTGGATCTTACAGCATTGCAAAGATTTAATAACTCCTATATAAAGATATACTACAATAAAAAAATATTGTATACTTTATTTAATAAACAAGTAACAAAATTAATTTAAAAATAAAATATAAAATGCAAATGATATGTCGTTTTTTATTTGTTAAAAAAATGACATTTTTTGGATAGATAAATTTAGAATTGATAAAGCTTAAACAAAATTATGAATTGGGTCCAAGTGTTGTTTGGATCGGGACTCTCACACCAGTGTGTTGTCTTAGCTGAAAAAGAAAGATAGAAAAAAAAGTGTATTATCTCTTTGCCCCTGAACAAAGAAAGTGATGAAATAGTAGAAACAGAGAAACCAACACGGCAATGCAAACGCAGGGAGGGAGCGTTGACACAGCCCAATTCGAGACAAAGCCAAAGATCGAATCCAGATGAGTTCCGATTGTGATGGTGGCGTCACCGTAATCCCGGGTCTTCCAAACGACGTCGCGGCGTGGATCCTCTCCAAGGTTCCCTACTCACACCACGCCAGACTGAAAACCACGTGCAAATCATGGAAACTGCTTTTATCTTCGAAATCGTTCTTAAACTCTTTGAATAAGAGGAACCACCTTCTGTGCATCTTCCCGCAGGACCCGTCGATTGCGTCGCCGTTCCTCTTCGATCCGAACGCGCTCGCCTGGTGCCCGCTACCTCCCATGCCCTGCAATCCTCACGTGTACGGCCTCTGCAACTTCGCCGCGGTGCCTCTCGGGCCCCACCTCTACGTCCTCGGGGGTTCTCTCTTCGACACGCGCTCCTTCCCAATCGACCGTCCCTCACCCTCCTCCGCCACCTTCCGCTTCAACCTCCACGACTTCTCCTGGGAGCCACGCGCCCCCATGCTCACGCCCCGAGGAAGCTTCGCCTGTGCGGTCGTCCAAGGGGCCATTCTCGTCGCCGGCGGGGGATCGCGGCATACGATGTTTGGGGCTGCTGGGACCAGGATTCGGTCGGTTGAGCGGTACGAAGTGGGGAGGGACCAGTGGGTGGCGATGGATCCACTGCCTGGGTTTCGCGCCGGTTGTGTGGGGTTTGTCGGCGGGGAGGGGAGGGAGTTCTGGGTGGTTGGAGGGTACGGCGCGTCGCGAACCATATCCGGGGTTTTTCCGGTGGATGAGTATTACAGGGATGCGGTGGTGATGGGAGTCGAGGGTGGCGCGTGGCGGGAAGTTGGGGATTTGTGGGGCGATGGGGAGAGAGTGAGGGTTGGGAAGATTGTGGTGGTGAATGATAATGGACGTCCCACGCTTTTCATGCTTGATGGGAACGAGATTTTTAGGTACTTTCCAGTCTGTGCTTGTGAATTACTTTGGGATTCCGTGGTTTTGGCTGCTTTATTTCGTGTTTCATTGAATGTGAAGTGACTTGGTAGTGTTGTGGTGCTGGGGAATGAGATTATGCATGTTTTTTATATATTTCGGGGATCAGTGATGAAATGTTTATACGGTGAGAATAGATTGCTCTGTTCGTTACTATTATTGAACATTGGTGTGGTGTAAAGAAAGGCTGGTTGAGATACTAATGTGGGATCATTCTTTCTGCTATTTTGCATTATGATTTTGCTAATTGGAATTGGAACAAGTATGTTAACAGTTTAGGCTGTACCTTTTTATGCTGATGTTGGAATACACCTTTTTTTCTAAAACGAAAGAGGTTTGATGAGGGGCGCAAGCATCTTGGCTTGTGAGTTAAACTAGTTCCTCATGCACATTTCAAGTTTTATTCAAGAATAATGACTTTACTATTGCTGGACAAATTTGTGCTTTGTGCTTGGAATTGGAGCGTCTTCTCTTTATTTTCAAGCTTGATCTGTCAGTAATACGGTAGTTGCTGATTTTATTTTGAGAAATTGTTTTGAGGCGTTTCTATGGGGCCTGGTAGTCAAAATCATACTCCAGGTTGTAGAATCCTACATTTACATGTGTCAGATTTTGTGATCCTGTTCACTGGTGAGGACACAATTTTCTGGAATTGGAGATGTATCATGTTTATACTTGGAAAAGCTCAAGGAACCTGTATTTCTTGCTATCCTCAATTTTCAACGAAAACCATGTTTTGGGTTGGGCAGGACAAAATATTCCCTGTTCAGCCCACTGAAACTTACACTCCTAGACTTAAACCATTCAGTTCAGTGTACCTGAACTAGATTTCACTTTTTCCTTTCAAAATTGTCCCCCTTTTTAGTTTCACCAACTACACAAGAATCAGGTGGAGTGTTGTAACCTTGACTAGACTATGGTGCTATGCTCTGTTGGATTTCCTGGTTTGCGTGACTTGGACTGAACAGAGTGTTGGTTTTCCTGGTTGCAGGTTTTGGTCCCATGTCATTTCTTGCTGGCATTTGGTTTGCCTTAGTAGTTAGAACCTAGAAGCATTTGTTTTGATTGAGGGCTTGTCTTTGGTAGGATATACTGTTAGAGGCATTTGTTCTATAACATGGATGGTTGATATTGGTTTTACTTCAATTTAATCATGATCATCCAGGTAAGTTGAATGTAGTTGTCTCACTTGATATGTACCCCATCATACTGTGATTGGGCAGATGCATATTTGGGTTTAGGTTGTGTAGAGGACCTAGGTTTCAAGCAGACGAGTTAGAAAAGGGTAGTGGTTATGTAACATCCTGCCAAAAAAATTAAATAAAAAAATATTAATAAATACTATAAATATTTATATTATTAGAGAGAAACTTTAATTAAATTACATGAACAGTTAGATCCCAAGAAATTAGAATTAGATAAATAATGTTTTAAATGATGTATAAATTCAATAGGAGATAAATAAGAAGATTAGAATATGATATAACTATGATCCAACAAGATAAAATTTTAAAATACGAGAAGGCTAATAAGGATGAGTCATGAGAGAGACCAATAAATAAGTTTATAGTCATATTAATCACATTCACATCTCCTTACTTTTGACCGAGAAAAAGTGAAAATAGAGAATAGTAAGGAAGAGGCAATGAGATCTAACCAAACCTAGTAACTGTATATTTCTCGTTTCCCATTGTGTATAAATCCATCTTCTGATTAATTTATCTATTTGTTGAAATTCATGAATGTGTTGGGAATCCAAGTGTGATTCTAAGTCTCACATTGTGTAAGAATGAGAAAATTGAGCAATATATAAGAAAGTATGATCCATAACCCAATGTTTTAAGGTTTTGGGTTGAGAGTGATGTCAATCCTTATATGGGTTGGACTTATGTTTCATTGGTGTGTTTCTCTGTTTGAGATTTAAATAAATTCATCCATAACTAGTGATTTTGTACAAAGATTTTATAATTGTGATTGGTAAAAGATATTATTTTTCCCTTTTAACCATTGAAGGGTTTGAATTCATGAAAAGGATGTAATGGCATATTTATTAACTACTGTATCTTTTTCTTATATAATATTATGTTAATAATCTAAATATTGTATGTTAATATTTTGAATTTTGTACATTGATGATATGAATACAGTATGTTGATGATTTGAACATTGTCCGTTGATCATATGAATATCCTCTGCTATGCATTTTCCTCTAGCCGGAGGAGTGTAAATATCGGAGACCTACACCTCAAGTCGGAGGAGTATAAATATACAAGGCAAACAAATGCTTCTTGAAAATTTGGGCTCAAATCTCCTAATAGGATGGAAAAGGAAACCTAAAGTAATGTGATGGTTTATATATGAATGCCAAGACTGATTATAAAGTTATATGAATATTATGTGTTTTTGATGTCATAATTTTTATAGAGGAAGGTTTTTTATTATATTATATTATAATAGGTATCTATCATTGGCTCCAATGATGGTCTTTTTTATCTCATGTTTCAATATGCAAATCCTAGATGCTAGTCCCTGAAAACGCCGATGGAAGACGGGATTAAGTAATTAAGCTGAAACATGCTATGCGAACTACTTGAGTTTATCGACTTCTATATAATAAAATGTTGAGTATGTCATGTTATTTATGCATGAAATGTATGATGTTGTTGTGTACCTAGGGCACTCACTGAGACCTTTTGTATCATCATTTTAATTAAATGTTTCAGATTAAACAGAGTATAGTACTTTTAATTGAAGTCCTCCTGTGGGGTATTAGTGTTCTAAATTTAGTAGTTCATTATAATAATATATTATCAAGAAATGTAATGTATCTTTGCTACAAGATTAAAATGTTATAATATTTTTTTAAAAATTGATTTGTTTAATTTATATACATATATATATATATATATATATATATATATATATATATATATATATATATATAATTATATATTGCTACTCCTTAGAATTTAGACTCTCTAAACTATAATAAATTGCGGTTTTGTGGCACCAAGTGTTATAAGGGAAAGAATTATGTCTTATGAAGTAGTAGTGCCATGTTTCTGTCATTCACATAATTCAGTTATTCAATTAAATCAGTGTTGAAAATATTTGCAGTTAAATGAATGCTGTTGAGTGATGTGCAAAATCTGTAGAACACATTATAAATTATTCTGATGTTTGGTTTGACTTGAATGCATGAAACTTGTGATTATAAGTATAAAGACATGATCCTGTTCAAGGTTATCAAACTCAAGAGTCTACGTAGATTCGTGGGAAGGTCGGTAGACTCAATTCGTAAACTCGATTCGAGTCTACTTCATATAAAAGTACCAATTTAACAAAAAGTATAAGTATGATAATATCAATTCCACGTTACTAAAGTTAATAGGTTCAAAATCATATGTAGTTTCATCTAAAATTTTCTCCATTAAATATCTTTGAGCAATAATTACATTTCATTCTTTTTTCCACCCAAAGCATCTATTCTATATTTCTACCCAATATATGTTCTATTTCCAAGTGCATTTTTACTTCTAGGTGGAAGTGAGAATATAGCTACATTACCCTCAGAAGAATTTGAACAAGTTCCAGACATTTTCAAATTTCAAATCTTTATATCTAAAATAACCAAAATAAAAAATTAATTTAACTTATGTGTAGTAGAATAACCAAACTAAAAAAATTAATTAAAAAAAACCCTAAAATGCCAAAACTCAATCCAAATTGTCCGTGCAGCAGTGGACCAATGAGCCAGCGTAGACCAACTAGAGCAGTGGCATTTGACGAGAGCAGCGTGACCAGCGGTGAGCAAAACGACCAGTGGCGAGTAGCGTGACCAGCGATCAACTCGCAACCAGTGACCAATGTGACTGGCAAATAGTGTGACCGCGACCAACGACAACTAGTGAAATGCAACGACGTAGCGACGGATGCGAGATCTAACCTTCAAAGGTGAGAAGGGATGAGGAGTGCAAGCATAAAGAAGAGATGTAACTTGTGTCTCTTTTCCTTCAAACAAACTCGATGACTCGCTTTCTCACTCGCGAGTTTGCTTAGAGTTCACCTAATTCAGCAAGTTTACTCTGAAACGAGTTTAGTCACAAGTTAACAAGTTAACTCGTGACCAGTCATTGAACTTGTTAACTTGTTCGAGTAAGTGAGTTGGCTAGTGATTTTGATAGTCATGGTACTGGTGTATATATATATGTAGAATAATAGAAATTTGTGGCAGATGCTTCCAATCACAAAAGTAACTTTTGCTTGTGTAAACTATGTTTTATAATTTTTGTACTTGAAAAACTGTGTTTTTACTTTCTTTGATGGATCTTCACAAATGAGGCAAGCATAATCAAAAGTATGTCTTAACTGAACAATGGTTATGGAATGGGGAGTGTTCCTGCCTTCTGTCAGGCTATCTGAAAGAATTGATGTTGGAAAAAAAGTGATTCATGTTTGAGATTATTTGAAGAGTGAAGTTTTGAAGTGTACGTATATGCATGCTTTAAATTTTTTATGGGTCACACTCGCATTAAGAATAAAGTTTGTGCACCTTGAAAGTAAACTTTTGTGTACTTTTCTCAAAATCAATTTTACCCGAATTAATTTTTTTTTTCCTGCTTCACATTTATCCAACCATAATGATTTACTCAGCTGTTGAAATCAAGTTTGCTCACAGCAAATGGCCTTTTGCTTTTAAACAAATATGCCAATATTCATTAAAACACAAATCCTAATTCAGTCATGTGCTTTCAAATTTTTTCCCTCATTGCAAGTCTGTGTGTTAGATTTCCTAAATTGGTTGCAATCCACCTACTTTAGTATTGATCATGAAACATTCTTGATGGCTCTGCTTGTTTACTTGTAAATTACTAATGATCCGTGATTGACCTTTTTTCATGATGAACACACCTTGCAGATATGACATGTCTTCCAATCGTTGGCTATATGAGTCTCGTGTGCCAAGAAAAGCTCCTTACAATTCGTCATTTGGTTTTGTAGTATTAGACGGGGAGCTGTATGTAGTGACACATTTATGTGTGGTTGATTTTACTGAAACGCGAAGGTCCAGGCAGCAAAAGAGGGCAGGAACTATGTTCATCCAAATCTATGACCCAAAAAATAAGACATGGAGATCTCTAGTTGCAAAATCACCTTTCAATTATCCAATAGATATTAATAGTGCTGTATTGAGCTCAATTTGTCTATGACTATGCTGCATCCATCCTATTTGTATAGTATAAGGATCACTGCTAAATTTCTTGTGCATCACATAATTTGATCCACCAGCTTCTTTGCTGGTAACTTATTTGTATATTTCTGTATTTAGCATGTCTTGATCAAGAGTATTAATTTTATATTTAGTTGAAACCATCTAAATTTAGATATATGTGACATATACTATCAAGTATTACTTACTAGTGTTTGTAATCCTGAAGTACTGAAATATTTGCTGTTAATAAAGAAATGGAGGTAACTTGTAAAATGTTGTTTGATTTTAAACATGGGAGACACCTAGGCAATTTAAGAAATAGTCTAAAAGATCATTTTTTTTAAATTAACACGTGGTGTCATATGTAAATTACTAGTGTCATTTAATTGACATAAATTATTGAATAAAGCTAACTTTGAAAAAGGTTCTCTTACAATATTTGTATTACAAATTAATTTAAACATAACAGAAACTAATCGAAACACCCAAATTCGTGTTAAGCCATGCTAAATTTGGAAGCCTTCCTCCATTGCATCGTTGTATCCTTACCACAAACACAAACACAAAATCAAACCCCTGAACGAGTTTGAGTTTGACACAACATCTTCAAAGGGTCTAGTTCTAACCCATGATTAATTTTGACCCAACATTTTCTAAATGTTTAAGTTTTAATCCATGGTCAAGTTTGACCCACCCTGAATACGAGTCAACGTGTAAGAGTACTCCAAAATACACGATCGAGTCCGAGCCAATACATTCTAAGAATTAAGTTTAAATACAGTCATGTTTGAGCCAATACAATATATAGGACGAAGTCTCAAAATATTAATGGGCCGAGTCTCTGAGCTTTTCTCCCCAAAATCAAATTCGAACATGAAAAGTTAAATCTGAACCGAAAATAAATAGAGTTTGAGTTTCTTTTTTCTAAAGGTACAGTTATAACCTAAAAGATCTAAATCCAAAGAGAACCAATCGGAACCGAGGGCCACTCTAAAAAAGAGAGATGATAGGGTTGGATGAGTGGTTTTTATTTTTGAAAGTGTCTGTGAATCATCACTCTAAATAAACATTAGATTCATCTTTTAGTAAAAAGAAAATTAGATGATTTCTTCTTTTCTGGCCCATTGAATAAACGTGATATGTTTTTGTATCTAGTGTACCTGCATGACACCATCTCTTTGATAAGGTTGAGTATAGTAGAAGAAACATCCAGTTAGTTTCTTATAATACATATACTAATATCTGATTTTTTACTGAAAATATCATTAATAATATCATGTCAGTGTCTTAAGTTTAAAATATATTTTGAGATATCTCAATTTGATCCAATTCTTATATATGTTATATTTAAAATGTTTTTTTTTTCTCAACAATTCTGTATGAAAAATAAAACTGAACTTAATATACAATATTTATATTATTTATTCATTTATTTTATTATAAAAAAGAAAACTGTATCTTAATCTTTTTTTTAATATTTTAAAAAATATATAATTTCGCCACAGTTATTTTGATTGTTTAGATATACAAGTCATCGCGATAATGATATATTTATTCACTACTGATTACTTAGTTTCCAAAATTATTTTGGATAATTTCATTAAATTTTTATAAACTTACATAAATTTTTCAGTCAAGAAATAAATTAATGAATTCGAAATCAAATGTAAATATGTTGCCGTGTTAACTTTATGCTAGTCATTTTGAAGCCAACATAATTAATCAATAACTTTTTGTTTAAATATTTGTTCTTCTTCTTTTATTTTTTTATTTTTATTTTTTTCTCTTTGCATTAAAATATAAATAAAATAATTTTAACTCGTATATAATAAATGTTAATGTGATGTGTAACTACGACTGATAATATCCGATTAAATATTACTCTCTCCAGCAATGAAAAAAAGAAAGAAAAAAGAAGTGCATGTGAAAAGTAATATGCAAAGTCCATTGTCTACAAATATGGTATAGAAGTAGTAGCTAGTAGGAACTCTGAGACCGTATTCTTTAATTGTGACCCTCGTGGCAGCAAGGAAAATTAACGCGTGAGGATGAAAACACACCAATTGATGTTGATAGGAATGAGTAATATAATAATTTAGATTATATGTATGCATTTTCTTATAATAGGTAAATATAAATTCTTAATATCTTAGTTTTTTCTAATAAAAAAATCAATTTTAATGTAATAATTTTATTATTATTTTTACCACTAAATCAACCTTATATAATTATAATATATTAATTTAGTCATTCTGAAATATTTTTCTTCCTTCAATGATGTTTTTGGATGGCAATAGAGGGTCCGAGGTTTGCGGTTGTAATTTTCCATGCGCAAACCGTTGACTGTGAACACGAAGCAAGTTTCAAACCATGGTCGAAACAAACGACAATTAATGTGAATAACAATACGGTGTATTCTAAACACGTTGTTTGTAACATAGCATTGCAGCATCCACCACCGCAACACTTTATATATCTTCTTCTCTACAAACTCATGAACGTTGTAGTTCTACCCTAGAATTGAACTCCTTCCAAGCACGAAAGAGCTTCTTCGTTCTGTTTCATTTATTTGGATAGAACTGATATAAATGGCTGGTTTCTCTTACAGAAGGTTCCTTTTCACAGTTCTGCAACTTGTGCTTATCATGATCACCATTTTTGTTGCTTCACCAGAATCTGGAGTAGCTTGCACCAGGCCATTGCTATTACGTCGGAAGTGGTGGAGGGAACACGTCCTTGTTTTGCAGTCGCTTCCAAACGCTCCTGCGCCACCGTCAACTGGATATCCTGTTCACACCTAAGCCACCTTCAAATGTTGTCGCGCATTCATTTTCTATATACTGTTTGTATATGTAGGCAGAAATTTATCTTTAGATTGAAACAGAGATTTTCTCTTTCCTGTGCCCATCTAACTGTCCTTGAATTGAATTTATGCTTTAAAAGTTATTTTGTCCTTCAAAACACACACATAACAAATACACGTATATATAACCATGTCTTCTCCATAAACGCAAAACCTCGTAGTCATGATCTTTTACGAGCTCGAGTTAGGGAGTGTTTAACGTGTTTTTTGGTTTCAGTTTTGCTTAATTGTTAATACAATTCTGACTGAAGTTACAACCATTTTTCTCAGCCGCCATGCATTGTTGGGATACTTACTGGTTTATATACTTATATTAATAATTTTTAAAGGAGAAAACATTTCTTCATTAAACTATACGACATAATAATTTAAATTGAAATTAACTTTAAAAATATGTAAAAATATTAAGAGTTTGATTCGGGACATATTGTTGTTGTTGGGCTCGCTGTCTACACAACCTTAATAGCCATATATACAATTTAAAATATAAATATGCATAAGACATTATTTATTTAAAAAGTTGGTTTTAACTTTTTTTGAATAAAAATTAACAATAAAATAAATATAGAGATTAATTTAAAAAAAATAAACGTTAATTTTAAATCAATTTATTTTCTAAATTGATGAAACTAAGAGAAATACTAACAAAATAAACTAAATCCCTATTTGAAGTATTAAACTATATTAAAAAGTAATTTTAGAATAAATATAATAAATAATAGGTTCGTTGCTCATTTAATAATCCTTACAGTTGCACAAACTTTACTCTTAAGTTTTTATACTTAAAATCACTTATCGTAGTGTCCACACATACAACTTAAATTTATTTTAATATTATGCATGCTATTTTGAATTTGTTTTAGTCCTTATGGTTTAAAATTATAGGAATTAGAAAATTTGAAAATTATACGTATAAAGACTAAAATAAATAATTTTAAAATATAGGAACTAAAAATTAAAATTATTCAACTATAATAACCAAATGAATAGTTCAATCTTAATAATATTCACAGTTCTTATATTACTCATCAAAAGAAAAATTTTCTTAATCAAATTTTTTAGGTGCAATTTGATATCAATTATATCGAAAATGGATGATTAAAATGAATTGAGTCAAGGATATATGCCTGATTATTAATTTTGGTTAACAATTCTACAATTAAAAAAAATTATAAATAAAATAAAAATGATAATTTATATTATAATATAAATAATTTATATTAGTGACAATTACAGTTTGTATTGGATTACAAATACAAATTTAAAAGAATAATAAAATAAGCAATACACACCAACTCTTGCATGGGAACCCCACGAATTGTATGGTTTCTCAGGGAGCACTAGCCAAAAGAGTAGTTATGAAATTTGAGTAAAAGAATATGTTGGTTTTAATTAGCCATGCATGCATGCATATGCACGTTTCAAGGTTTATGGACGAATTGGATCTGGACTGGATGGGATCACAGGGCCCCGTGGAAGAGCCTGCAACAAAATTCCATTGTACTCCTTCAACCACCGATCTTCATGCAATGCTCTGCCAGCTTCTCCAAATTCAGGAAAAGCAACCAAAATGGTGAAGATGATAAGCAGCATTGTGAAGAGGATCATCCTGTAAGACAATGCCATTTCTAGCAGTGACAGCAACTTATCAATGGAACAAAAACTTAATTAAATGATATTCTTTCGAATGAATTTCAACTTGGACTCGTCCTTTCTGCTGAATGTGGTGACAGAGTAGAATCAGGTGAGAGTTTGTATATGTTGAAAGGTACGTGTTCGCTCCATATATATATAGCAAGGAAGAGAGAGAACTATTTGAAATTTTGAATTGACCAGTGCCTCTCGTGGGTGATGAATTGTATTGATTGACTGGGTATGCATGCTTTGAAGATTAACAAGTTGCTAGCTAAAACAACATTGACGATAAATCGAAAAGTAAATCCGACGCTAAAACACCCTCTTGTCGGAAGCCAAACACTGTTGCCTAGAAACCGCGATTAATTCATATATATGATGTATGACTCGGTTTTGTTTAACGACGCTACTGTTATATGATTTTACAAATCGATATTGACCTAGTCATACTCATATATTTGAAAGACCCTTTTTCTAGTTATCGGTGGGTGATGTTTTGGTAATTCATTAACGGTTATGTAAAAAGACTATTATATACGCTCCAAACAGTGGCGGCGGATATAGAAAATTTCCTGGGGACAAATAAAATATTAATAATTTTTATAAAACTATAGCATTTTACAATTTCTACTAAATATAATTGACTTTTACACATTTTCATACTTTGAAAATATTGTATAAAAATTCACTGTCAATACCAAAATTAATTTCAAAAGTAAATATATAAATAGGTACATAATATGCTTTTAATTTTACCATTTTAAATACTAATAAGCCTATTTTGTTCATTATATAAGAAAGAAAAAAATATGTTTCAAGGAAAAAAATTTAAACCATAGTGGGGAAAGCCCCTATATCTATAACATACAATCTGTCACTTGTTCCAAACCCAAAACATACAATTTAAGCAGTCATATGAATTAAATTACATAATTGAATCAGCATTGCATTGAGAGATTAATAAAAATTGTGGAGTTTATTTTAAAATAAGATTATTTTTTATTAAAAAAATTCTACAATGTTAATATAGTAATACTAAACTTTTTTCTTGAGTACGTAAGATTTTTTTCGTGTACATACTAATTGTAATTTGTATAAAATATAGAAATAATAAAAAATAATTTTATTAATTTTGATGATAAAATATCTAATACCAGCAATTTAAGTAGACCTCTTCAAACTTTTTAAGTTTACAAAACTTTACTGAACCATTTGAATTTCATGACTGGCATCATAATACCAACAAAAACTTAGTTTAGTTTTTCGTGTTTCAAGGAAACCTTTCTAAAAAAGTTTACAAAAATAGAAAAATCTTAAATAAATATTTTACAAGATAAGAGATAGTATTTTTTTAAATAGGACTTCACAACATTTTAAAAAACCAATACAAAAATTATATTTTAAAAAAGTATATCCTAATTTCTCCCATAATTATATATTTATGATAATTAATTAATTGTTAAACATATTTAACAAATATACACTGATCTAACGTATGTATTCCATTAAGCTGTGAATTTTTCCTTCATCAGCTAATTTGATTTTGGAAAAAGAAAGCAGATGTCAAAGACTCCGACACCATGTTTGGTTGTTATTAATTTCTCCAACATAAAATGAACAATAAAGCAGAATAAACGCCCGATGCATGCAAGCGTGTCGAATTATCATTTAGTTATTTGCCGTTGGCACAAATGGCGGCTATTTCCTTTGTCAGCAACGAGTACTTTTTTTATTAGCTTATTGAGTACTAAATATCTACTCACCCATATTCAAGAAAAACTAAACAGATTTTATGGCATAATATTCAGATTCTTGTATCCATCAGACTCTATCACAAGACAATGGATTGGAACACCAAATATGAAAAGACAACTATTTAGCAGAAGATCTTATAGGAAGACCCATTATAGATTGACCTGTTCCTTAGATTCAAGGACATGCTTATAATTTATCTGACTAAAACACATACATACACAACCTCAACTTTTAACTGAAGCTAAACTAACATTCATTTTCTTGAACTACCGCGTCCCACATACATGACATTCCCCTAATCAGTCTTGAGATGGTTTGAAAATGCCATATGAAAATGCCTGGTTACCCCTCATACAACTCCAGACCTGTGTTCAATTTCTATTTTTCCTCTGATTTTTGTTTTCTGACATGGAGGATAAACTCCATTTGTTTAGTCACATAGGATGACAAGTGTGAATACGTAATGGATATCTAATTATGATATATATTAATTCATCATATTATTGTAGATGATAGCCTCCACCATCAGATCAGATAAATAAAGTCCCAAGAATAAACATAAACGAGACATGGATCACCTGCAGGTACTTTGGAAGACATTACAGGGGATCCTAATTAATAGTGCGAGTTGGACATATTCTTTAACATTTTTTATTATCACATAAAAGTTATATATGAAACCCTGCACCTAAATACACGTGCAGCCAGGCTCATAATGTTTTCTTTGTCTGAAACATGGACAAGCTGTGCATGAATACCAAGAACAATATATGCATGAATACCAAGAACAATATATGCATGTTTCACCGGGAACATCGCTCAATTGTTTTCCACACTGATTTTAAAATACTTGCATGAACTCAACTATAAAAGGGAAGATCGAAGAGGGGCATTCCAAGAGAAAGACATTGAGGTAGAAGTAGAAGGAAGGAGAAGTAAGAATAAATTGGAGGCAAACAAAAGGAAATCTCCCATATTCTGCGTTTTCAGCTGCTTTATCATCGAGTTGAGTTCTGTATAAGTCTTCATTTCAGGATAATATCTACACCATTAAATTTATTTATCTTTTAAAAATTGTGTAGGTCCTTCGTTGTATTTATTGGCAAAGTCACTTCATATAGGTGTTGAAGCACGATTTCGGTTATTTATAAAATTTTATCTTTTAACTGTCATAGATTGTTTAGAACATTATATTTATAATTTACGTTATTTTATCACATGCAAAAGAAATATTGTGCCTTGTTTATACCTTTTACTTATTACTACTCTTTGTTCATGCTAGAAACAGGATTTGGCTTGATTAGGATATTAGTATTGGAGGAAAGTGCACACACAAACTTTTTTTTTTTGCTATACAATTAACTACAAAGAAACTTATTTTTATTGCTCAAGCATAATGGAGTTTATCTTTTGTACTAGATTCTACATAATAATCTTCTTCATAATTTTACAAACCATTTGTTGATTAGATATAAATTGAAAGTTGCTTATTTCAATGAAAACTGTTATTGGTTTTGTTATTAATTAACATTTTTTGCAGATATTACTGTAAAATTTGTATATCATTTTGATAATATATACGTGTATCACTCATTTATTTGAAGTTGCAGGACAAATAATATACGAATTATTTGTAGTATACTATAAATGATTGATTACACAGAAAGAAATTTCAGTTCTATTTATGTAGTCCAACTGTCTGATCACGAAGTTGAAACTTATTTTCGCATTTAGTTGAAAATCTCAACTCAACTTATGACAGATTATAAGTTGGGTTGGATCATGTTAATCTAGTTTTTAAATCAAATATTTCATTATTTTATTTATCTCAAAATTTATCAAATAAAATATAATTAAAACAAAAAAATTTATAAGTTTTTTTTCCTAAAAAATACTTAATAAATGGTCATTTAAAAATATAAGCGCTACATTAAGTTGTGGATGAATTGAGGTGTTTAGCTCATCTTAATCCATTTGAATGAGTTCTGTCAGTTACTATTTTCCCATTCTTGCACTTGATGTAAAGTACAAACCATGTTTTTTCAAATCTTTCATTATTTTTAGTTATTTATTAATTACTTCCATCCAATTTATCTGCAGTTTATGATTTCTACACATAGATTAAGAAAAACAATATATGTCTTTTTATACAATTTTACTAAAACAGTCTCGTATTTCTTGTGAATACATTAGTGGAAGAGTGAAATAACTGTGATGGTTAAACAGTCAATATATTGATTTATGTGAGAGAAAATTAAGAAAAAAAAATTAATAATACATTGTAAAATGAGAAAATCATTTATTTTGACCAATGGCAAAGGTTAATATTATAGAAAAATGGCGACGGAGTAGTAATATTTAAAATTTAAAAGCCAAAAATTTTTCAATCCCTTTCTCGGCTTCCATATGTTTATTCTGAAGATTGAAATTTCTTCATCATCACTCAATCCTCACGTATACTACGGAATATGTTTAAACGTGTTTCTCTATAAAGAAAAATATATAAAAAAATCAATTAACTTTTTTATAAATTAAAAATAGTTTGTACAAACTCTTTAATTTTATCATATCATGATAGCTAGAGATCATCGTCACCAAATCTTATTAGTTTGATTAATGAATTTTATTAGATTAGAATTAAATTAGATAATAAAGAAGTATAATCACCAACATTATAATACTCTTGCATGGGAACCCAAGGGTTCTGGTGTTTCTCCCGAGCACAAGCAAAACGAAAATAGCCATGAAAAATAGAGTAAGAATGTTGTTGTTTGAATTAGCCGTTCCAAGATTTGTTATGGACGAATTGGATCTGGACTTGATGGCTTCACAGGTCCCCGTGGAAGAACCTGCAACAAAACCCCATTGTATTCCCTCAACCACTGATCTTCTTGTAATGTTCTGCATGCTGCTCCAAGTTGAGGAAAAGCAACAAAAGTGTTGAAGATAATTAGTATTATCATGAAGAGGATCATACTGTAAGACAATGCCATCTCTAGCTGTTAGTAACTGATCAATGGAACAAAGTGAGTTTTTTTTGTAGATGGTGAAAGGAACGTGGTAGCCCCCCAATATATACATAGGAAGCTATTTGAATTGACCGGTGCTTGTTGCGGTTGATGAATTTTATTATTGACTGGGTATGCACGGTTGAAGATTGACAATAAACTAGCGTAAACAACATTGACGATTAAAAGAAAAGTAAATAAGACGCCAAAATACCCTCTTGTCATGGGACACCAGATATTGAACTTCAACTTATTATATACATATATATATATATATATATATATATATATATATATATATATATATATATATATATATATATATATAGAACTTTTAAAATTCGTTCATTATATCCAAAATAATATTATTATAATGAGGAGATCAAGAAGGATAATATTAGAAAATGTCAAAAGTTCGAGTATTCCCAAAATAAACAAAGCGAATTTCAATTGCTAAAGACTTCAAAGTACATAGCATTGTTGGTATGTTTGGTTGTTAATTCTTCAACATTAAAGCAGAAAAAACACCATGTTGCATGTAAGTATGTCAATTTTTTTATTTTTCTATTTTTTTTTAATCAGAAACAAGATCTTTGATTTCCTCACACAGTAGACAAGGGGTACTCAAATTAATATCAAACTCAGATTCCTTCAGTTAGTTATAAATAACAAAAAATGTTATGTGACAAAAGTTGATGTAATTATTATTTGAATAATTATTTAATCACTTAAATTATATTGATTCTAATATATTTTTCTCTCAATACAGGATGAAATTACAAAATATCTAGATACAAAAGAGCAAAAATTATAGATGAAAAATAAAATAATAGAAATATTTCATTTTGAATATTCTATCTCATGTATTTACTATAAAAAAAAAGTATAAAAATAAAATAATTAGGATTAGTATATGAAAAGAAAAAGAATGAAGAAGTATTATAATTAAAAAAAAATAATAAGAAATAAACAAAATCACCTCATAGATAATCTATTTAGAAGTTCAATTACTTTATTTAGTAACATTTTTTTCCTATCTTTTCTCTTTTTTCTCTATACAATTTTTCATTTTGTTTTGAATATTGATGGAAATTTCATTAATTTTCTGACTCTATAAAATTGCATTCTATGATTTTATATAAACAACAAGAAATAAAAAAAATCTCAAATTAATTGAAGAAAAATTGAAAAAAAAGGAAGAAGATTTCAGCCTAAGAATCGCTTGAGCGAGGTGGACACTCGCTTGAGTGAAAATACGTTAAAGCTCTCGGGTATCTACTCACTCAAGTGAACATTTCTCGCTTGAGTGAAAACTGCTATTTTTCGCTTGGGCGAATGTGTCGCTTGAGCGAATGACGCTTGGCCCAGAATTTTTCTATAAAAAGATAAAATGTGTTTTGAGAAGGGAGTTTTGGGGTTTGTGAGAAAAAAAGGTGTGGTAGCTGATCAAGTTTTCATCAAATCTTCAATTCTTCTTCATTTAGATCATTGTAATGACCATCATGAGTGGCTAACTTCATTCTCTTAGGTTGAGTACACTTCCTTTGAACTCTTTTGTATCTTGGTGATATTTTGAGATATTAATCTATGTTCTTGATGTTGATATTCTTATCTTTTATGCTCTTTAATGTGTATCTTTGATGTTTGGGATGTATTGAAAAATATATCTTAAAATCCTAGATCATGTTAAGAGTATTTGCTACGTTAATCGCTAGGAATGGTAATAGATGTATCAATTGCTTAACACACTGAACTTAATGCTGAGAAATCCATTAAATGTATGAGGAATCGATGTTTATTAGGTTTTTTTATAAATTTCATATGTGAGGAATCAATGTGAATGATGTAAGTAGGTGACATCAACATTGATAGGTTAATTGATGTTCTTAATTTGACCTAGCCATTATACAAAAGAGGGAAAATGAATGAAACTAATCCTAAGTTCTTTTATTTGATATTTTTTAAAAACAGTTTATAGTTCTTTGTCATTTATTTTCAACCTAAACCTTTATGAAAAACCAGTTTTGTTTTAATTCACTTAGTGAGCTTACAATTTGGAGTTTCCAGTGAAACTGTTCCTCGAGGGATCAAATTTTATTTAATCGAAATACTATACTGCGATTGATAATATTGGTGCGTTTTCCAATTATTCAACAAGTATTTCTAGTGTCGTTACCGGGGAACAGCGTTCCTTGTAAAGTCTTTGTGTAGCTTATTATTTTTTTTTATTGTTATCTTGTGTTAATTCTTGTTTGAGTTGTTCTTTGATTTATGCTTTAAGAGGATAGGTATCTACAAATCAGTTGGAATTCGATCCTGAGATTGAAAAAGTCGCTCGGAGGAATCGGAGTAGAAGAAGAAGGGAAACTCAAGAACAAGCTACAGGAGAATCAATCAACTCTTCTCCCACACTCAACTTACAAGAACCAATTATAGAAGACATGGAGGGTGAAAGAGCAAATCTGAATCCAAATTCACCTAGAAGAACACTTGGAGACTATGTTATGCAACAAGGTCAAGGTCCAAGACATTTTTCCAGCATTGCAATACCAGCCAACCAATATTTGGAGATGAAGCCAGTATTCTTAAGCCTGATTAGTGCTCATCAATTTACTGGAATGGATCATGAAGATTCTTATATTCATTTGTCCACTTTTTATGAGTTGATTGACACCATGGGATTTAAAGAAAGAGATGTTGAATCTGCATATTTGAGATTGTTTCCTTTTTCATTGGCTGGCAGGACAAAGAAGTGGTTAAAAGCACATCATAATTAGAGTTTGATAGCTGGGATAATGTAGAAGAGAAGTTCCTGAACAGATTTTTTTTCCATCATCTCGCTACATCAAGGCAAAATCCAACATTTCTACTTTCAGACAAGGAGCATATGAACATTTTTATGAAACATGAGAAAGATTTAAATCACTATTAAGGAGGTGCCCAAATTATGAATTTGAGGACATTGCTCAATTGAACATTTTTTACACTGACCTGAGACCTGATACAAAGATCTTGTTAGATGCTGCAACAGGAGGAACCATGATGTTTATGGATGTTGAACATGACACAAGGATTATTGATGCACTGACCTCTATAGACCAGTAAGCTCAACATGATAGACACCCAGTTAAGAGGAAATGAGTGTTTGATCTTAACACTACAGATGTTATCTTAGCTCAAAATAAAATTCTGACTCAACAGATTGAAGCATTGACCAAGCAAATGACAAAATTGCTTCAACAATTACAAGTTGTTCAATCCACTTCTAATCAACAAATGAGTTGTGACTTTTGTAGAGGTGATCATCCAAATGGACACTGCTCTTATCAAGGTAACATACAAGAAAAAGAAGCTCATTATATGCGTGCTCAAAGTGGTAATAGTCAAGGCAGACAAGCAAATTTCTCTAATTCCAACAACTATCAGAATAATTTTTCACAAGGATGGGGAGAGAATCATAATCAAAATTTTGGGTGGAAGCAAGGTGTTGGTCCATCTAATAGATAACCTCCAAATCAACAACAGTCATTTCAGCAACCTCCATTTCAACAATAGCAGCAATAGTATCCTTTAGCATATGAGAGAACAATCAAATTGGAAGACACTTTGGAGAAATTCATGCAAGCTTCTTTGTCTAATCAGAAAAATACAAAGGCTTTGATAAAAAATTTAAAGACCCAGATGAGTTAATTGGTTAAACAGTTATCTGAACAACAAAGAGGACATTTTTCAGCCAATACACAAACCAACCCCAAGGAGCATTGCAATTCAATAGTTACAAGGAGTGGAAAAGTTGTAGGTAAGGGAATTTATGACAATCTAGTTGTTAAAGAAGAGGTTTTGGGAAAAGAAGATGAAGAACGAGAAGAGAAGAGTAATAAAGACATACATCTCCCTAATAAAAGAACGAAGAGTGAAAGGAAACACAAAAGATAAAAAGAGGAAAGAGCAGTAAGAAGGAATCTGCCCAAGAAAAAGGAGGGAGTCAAAAGTCATTTGTGAAGAAGTTACCATACCCCCATACTCTTTCAAAAATAGACAAAGAAAGACAATTCACCATATTTATGGACATATTTAAAAAGCTACAAATCAATATACCCTTTGTGGAAGCCATGGAACAAATGCCAACATACGCCAAATTCATTAAAGAACTTCTCACCAGAAAGAGAAGAATTGTTGAAGAAGAAACAATAGAACTAGAAGCAGGGTGCAGTGCAATTTTTCAAAAATCCTTGCCAAAAAAATCCAAAGACCTTAACAGTTTTACTATCTCTGATACCATTGGTACTATTGAATATAGAGAAAATAGGGTTTGGAATTAATTTTCCTTGTGTATAAATCACACATAGGGTGGTCTATTTATAGTAGAGAGATACAACTAAAAGAGTAACTGAAAGTAAGAGAATAAACAGAAGATATTGTTTGATATTGTGATTACCAATATCTAACAATATCTTAACAATATCAAATAATATATAAACAATATCTAACACTCCTCCTCAAGCTGGAGCATACAAATCGTATGTGTCAAGCTTGTTACAAATATAATCAATTCTAGGACTCCGTAAAGATTTAGTTTGTTAACTGATCACTTGAGTTAACAAACTCAGTTTTGATATCTTCAGACATAATCTTTTCTCGAATAAAATGACAGTCAATCTCAATGTCTTTGGTCCTCTCATGAAAGACAGGATTAGAACTAATATGAAGAGCAGCCTGATTGTCACACACAAGTGTCATTTGAGTGACATCTCCAAATTGTAACTCTCTAAGCAATTGCTTGAGCCAAACAAGTTCACAGGAAGCTGAGGCCATAGCTCTATATTCTGCTTCTGCACTGGATCTTGCCACAACACTTTGTTTCTTACTTTTCCATGAGATCAAGTTACCACCAATGGA